TATCTTGCAAAATTAGAACCTGAAAGCCTAGAAATGCGCAATCGGTACAAACCAAAAATTTAACTTGTGAATAACATAGAAAATAGAAGCGCTTAGTTTTGATATTGATGTTAAATGCTAGCCCAGACTCAGGAGTTTTCAAAGATGTAAGAAACACGCAAATTATTAGTAGTGTTCACCATGAATTCTTACAAATTTCCAGAAATTAAAAGGAAATAAGAGGCGTGTTTCAAATATTTTAAAGCAAGATTTTGTTAGTGATTATGGAAGCCTCAAAGTTGCAGGCCATATCCTTATCAAAGCAAAAGTAAGGCGTTTTCCCTATAGTTTTTCTATATTTAGTGATTCTTTTAGGTCAAAAATCTACAGCATATGAATAGTATGTAAACCTGAAGTTGAGATTGTGTTAGAAAGGGTTTCAACATCAAACTATACTGAACTCTAACCCTGAAAATGTTAATACAAATCCAAAGCAATTACCAGCATGACAGGAAAATTAAAAGCAAAAGTTTCATTGAAATAATATTGTTTATAAATCAGGATCAAAATTACATTACTTCACTTTGAAAATAGGACCGGGTGAAGAATATTCATAATGCGGAGCTTAACCAGTTGATATAGTTAGTGTAGTTATTGAGATAGTGAATGTGTTGAATTGAAATACTTATTTCTGCAGAAAAACGTGAGCCTAGCTTAAAGGATACTGTATACATTTCTAATGTTTTTTTATAAGTGATGTTTACCTACTTTTTGTGTTACATCATGTGGCGTTAAAATATTTTTTTTGGAATATATTAAATTCTTTTAAAAATCGGGTTAGCTTTTTATTTTTTCCCTCTAAGGTTTTGTCTTAATATTTTAAATACTTCTTAGCTGATTTCGTTGAAGGTGATACAATTCCTGCAATTCTATCATAGATCGACCAAATCAGATTATAAAATGGTCGGCGTGTGTTCGGCTAAAATTTAGATGTCTTTATTATTACACTGGTGTAGGACGAGTATTTTGTTATTGAAATAAAACAGAAATGTAGAGAAACAACGTTTATTTTAATAAATTCAGTCCCACTTAAAATAGACAACAAACACCAAGTCAAGATATTCACATGTTTATTTTGATGTGCCCAATGCCCAATTAAGTTATAACTTCTAACATAAAAAAAGATTTACCTTTGTGCCAAAAAGAAAACAGTTACTAAGGTAGGGTTCCCAACTTGAGCATCGGCGATTCCAGGACAATTATCTTTAAGCTTTTAAATAATTGAAACAAAAAATTAAATATTAGAAATTAAAATATATTGTGTGTGGTACACACTTTTTTAGTTTCCAGGTCCCGGCCAAGGCAAAACTTTCGCCGGGACAAAGGTCTGCTAAGGTTCGAATTTTTTACTAAAGCCCTCTACTGAAAACTAATTCAAAAATATTAATTTCTTTTGACGGAAAACATTATGAAAACATCATAAATAATCAACCAGCACTAAATCAAAAATCAATGTTACATTCAAAATTATTCATTGTTAAAAAATATTTACATAAAAGGGTAATTACCCATAAAAGATATTAACTATTATATAATGCTATTAAAAATTAATTTAATATTTGAATAAAATCTGCTGGAAAACATTATGAAAACATCATAAATAATCAACCAGCACTAAATCAAAAATCAATGTTACATTCAAAATTATTCATTGTTAAAAAATATTTACATAAAAGGGTAATTACCCATAAAAGATATTAACTATTACATAATGCTATTAAAAATTAATTTAATATTTGAATAAAATCTGCTGGTCACATCATAACTTTCTAGATCATATATAATTTATATACAAATATCTTAAAAATGTATTTCTATATATATGATCTAGGGATAAACGTCAAATTTTTGTCTATTTGCTCAAAAATTTGAAAGAAGAACACGTTTTTATTCTGTTTCGGCCTAGACATATCCTAAACGAAGAAAGGAGGAGGAGTTTAGGCGGTTTACAGTCGGCTCAGCACGACCGCCCCCGATACTACACGAAAGTTTCGACAGTTTGAACTTTCGTCAGGATAAAGCCATCACACGGTGCACACGGTCCCACTCTTCAAAGTTGTATACGCGACGTTTCGTTTACATCTTCATCAGGGTGGAACTAAGGATTTGATATTAAAGGCGGACAGACGGTCATTTTAATACAAATTTTGTGAAAGTGAATCAAATTATTTATTAATCTTTAATTTATTACTTTTCAACAGTTCAAACTACGCTTTTTCAAGCATGTTCTTCAAATTCTTCAATTTAATAGCTGTTAGTAAAAAGTTTCAACTTCAGATATGCGCACATAGTGCACACACAATTTTTTTTAATTAAAAATGTCATAAGTTAACATATGATATAATATGTCATTTTATTCAGAATGTCATTTTCTATGTACCGTTCGAAGGTACCAATTAAAAATCAAAAGTAGTAATTTCCTGTGAAACAGGAAGTGACCGAAACTAATTGAATACCTATATCAATCAATCCCAAGAAATAAGAAAGTTATAGGGGTGAGCCACTTTTGAAAAACACCCGGTATATTACTATTAAAATAAAATTTGTAATTATTACATGAAGAGGTAAACATAAATGTTGTATACCTTTCGCTCACTTTGACGAGTAGAATTATCTTTTACCACGATAAAAAAAGGCCTTGTTTATTTCATTGCGATAATGCGTACTTCACGCGTGTGGTTTTTACGTTTCAGTCGGCTAAACCCATAAAAATGACAATGAGCAACGGCACGTATCCTGACTACTTATTGACAAATTGCGGCTATTTTTTGTTTGCCTTTCACACTGGACGTCAAACTAAGCTGTGTTTGGCGTCAAATAGGTACCATTGTTCGAATTTTACTACCTCACGTTGACCTTATTAACTTGCTATATTGTCGACTTAAGATATCAGCTATTTCTAGTACATTCAACGTAAAAACCAACTTTCCTTCACTAATTATTGGGAAATTTTGCATTCCTATTAGTTTGTGCTTTACTATGATTTATCCCAAAAACATCTAAATAGAGGGAGACAAAACTGTTTACATTTTATCGCGATCAAACATCGTTTTCAACAAATATCGATGATAATTTTTAATTTTAGTTTTCTAATTAAATTAAATTAAAATTTCTTATGGATGTAACTGTGACAATGCTGCTTCAGGAAGTGTGTTTGGTTTGATGTTTTTTTTATGAATATAAGAAGTTTGATGGTTTTATTTAAATGATGTTTAGCGGTGTTTGCTACGCAGTATTTAAGTTTTTCGAGCAATTTTTTACTGATTTTCTTTGCAAAAGAACTGTTTAAAGTAATTTAAATATCTACGATGGTTCGCCATTGCTTTTTTTACAAGAAATTGGACTATTCCACTCCCAAATTGAAATTTTGTCGGTAAGTGACATTACGAATTGTTTAGCTTTAACAGTGGTATAACCTAATTTTTGAACAGGTTATTAGAAAAAAGCATTAAGTATTCAAAATAAAATTTTACAATTTTTATGTACTTCACATCTTTAATTGTCTAATGTTTGTTAATGTACTATTTCTATAATAGAGAAAGAATTACTATATTATTATACATATATAGTGAGTCTTAAATAAGTGCAAATAGATTTGATAGGTAGTATATTTTGAACCCAGAAACACGTCTATGAGGTTTTTTCGAATATTTTTAAAAATTTGGTATTTAAAAAAAATATTTTTTTTTAAATTTTTAATTAATGAAAATTAAGTTTTAATTAACATGATATTTTCATAATATATGGCAACATAGATAGTATATTAAATTTACAAAAAAAAAGAAAACCCAGAAAAGATCCATTCTTTTGTTGAGATCTACCAGTCCTGAAAATATCTGCACTTATTTACGACTTACCCTGTATTATAAATTATGGTTCTGGTACCTTTTAGGTATATCGCCAATCTTGAAGTTATGATGTAAATTTGATATTAATATGTTCTACAATTAATATTTTAACGTTTTAAGTACGGATCGTCGGCTAAACGTTTGAGATCACTTCAATAAAATTATTTATTTTTTGACCAAATTTGAGGTTAAATATAGTTTTCTCTATTAAGTGTAATAAGAGTGACAAAGAAGACATAGAATTAGTTTATTTGTCTTTTGCTCGCGTATATCGCCTTGTATCGCCGGCGGTAACAATGAAATGTTGAAAATCCGGATTTTGTTTTATTTATACTTTCTTATTAATTTTAAAAAATAGGGGTAGCGATATTAAGTTGATAAGAATAGATATTATATTTTGATCTGTATTAAAGGTTGAGAAGAGGATCACAATGGTAAAAACGTCGGCCGTAACTGAGTTTGATTGCATTGGTTACAAAATTCTTTTTGGGGGGTTGGTTTTTGGTGTTATTTCTCAATTCTGTATAGAAAATTTTAAAGTTTTGATGTATGTAGAAGGTACCAGACCCTAATTTTTAAACTAAAATTTAAATTAAAATTGCTTTATGCGATTGTCAATAAAAAACAAGCACGCCACTGGTAGACCGAAAAAATACACACAAGAAATGCACACGAAGCTCAACAGCGTTGTCAAATTTATGTACCCATCTCTTTTTAACTCACATAAAAGTGTTAAAGTATGTATGATTTTAAACAAACAGAGTTTTATGAATGTGTTTTGTCTCTCCTTTGTTCAGATGTCTTCTCGGATTTATCCACATTACACATACAGGGTGTTCGAAAAATACACAACCAAAGTTCAGGAGTGATTCCTCATATGTTTGTAATTATCCTAAAAATCCCTGTAGGTTTCCTTGAAAAAGAGTCAGTAGGTATTATTTTTAGTAATAATGAAGGACTTTAAGGCTTCACTAAACTGAAATTATTAAGTTTAGTGGCGTTATCGATAATAATTAGAAAAAAATGTACAACCTAATATCGGTAAAAAAATCAAACCTTGTTGATATCAAAATGCATACTTCTCCAAAGACAAAAATAAATTAAACACACATATCATTACTTGTAATATCACTCTTTATTATAAATCTTTTGCACTTAAATACAAATATGAATATAACTTTATTCTTGTCATATATTATTAATAACAATTAGGTAATGGAAGACTACAAGATTTTGCTGTCAGGTAAAAGTTTATGTAAACAATGTTTTATCAAATATTTCATAAATATTCCAGTCAAACTCAAGTTTATCTTTAAATTCTGCTTAAATTTAAACCACATTGGTGTAAATTCAAAAAGATATAATAAACTTCATTCGTATGTTACTAATAACTAAATATACTTATTATTAATAACAATTAATGAAGGACTGCAGGAGTTTGCTGTCTAAAGGACGCTACCGCTAAGTTGATGTAAACCGTGTTTTATCAAATATCGAATATTCCAGTTAAACTCAAGTTAAAATCTTTAATAATTCTACTTAAATTTAAAACACATCTGTGTATATTTAAAAAAGTATAATAAACAGCATCCACTTATACTATAATAACTAAAAAAAAATATTTTCTCTATACATAATATCACATAACTGACATGCCACTGTCACAATAAATGTCTTTTTACGTCGCCTGATTCCAGCAACTGTTTTGCATCAAACAAAAAATAACAAATACATATTTTTTATCAAAGGATAAATTTATTTTTTTATATTTCATTCAAGATGCCCTCTGCATTTACAAAACCAAAAACTGGACCCGACTCATAAAACAGTTACCACGGTCTCCATGGTCTTTCTTCAGCGTCATTATCGTTCTCATCTACCTTCCTCACAACTAAACTTAATGGTTTCTGTTGAGCCTGGCAGTACATCGCCTCCGCTGGTTCCGGACTTTGACTAGGACTGTAGCTGGAACCGGTAGATGCCGAGGAGTTGGTGCTGGCGCTTCGTTCAGGCACGATGGGTACTAGCAAAGGCACTGGCGAAGGCATGGATGGGTGTTGTTGGGCGGAAGAGGGCAATACCAAAGCAATCTCGCCACTAGGCAATCGCGTTGGGACTAATTGCACGCCGCCACCTTGTCCGTTGCTCAGGATAATTCCCGATTGGGGGACTTGTTGTTCCGTTGTACGATGAATATTGTTTGGTAGGATGTGAACCTGAAACAAAACAAAGGTTATTCCATAACTATTCCAAACAGAGTTATATTTCATATATAGTGCAACCTCTTTAATAGGAACAGCTAATTGAAACAAAACAAAACTAATTGAAAAAAAGACGTTGGTGAACCGAATTGTATTAGGGAAACTTCGGCAGTATATTCTACAGATAAAAATAAGTGAAAAAGTTCGTATAAATTTATGTCCTCAAATGTTTTATGTCGGAGATACAGGGTGTACAAGTTTGATTTTTATTTCGATTTTTTCCAAATAATTTCTGAGCTAACGTCGATATTGGGATGAAAATTTGTGTCTGGATGTTTTTTGCAATAACTTTTCGTCCGTACCTGTATAAAACTACTGAGTGAAAAAATATACATTACCGTAATTTTTTACGTAAAAAATGTCTCCTGGTAAAAATCGTTACGAGCAACCGTTTTCCAGATATTTGGAATGGAAAGAGTCATTAATAAAAAAAATAAACATATTGACTAAAAAAATAGATAGATATTTAACTGAAATGATAAATTTGACAATTTATTATTTTTTAAAGCTAATCATAATTTTTTCTAAAGAAAAATACGATAATAAAACAGCTTCCCTTGAATCTTTAATTAAATCTCTATTGTAATACAGGGTACGGACGAAAAGTTATTACTCTTCAGAACAGTTAATAAAGATCCTACTTGTAGGTGGCGCCCACTACAAGTAGGAGTCATACTGATATGAGACTGAGAAATCAAATTTCTCATGTCAAAAAACGCCAATTTTTATCCAAATATCGACGTTAGTTCAGAAATTATTTGAAAAAAACCTATATAAAAATGAAACTTCTATATCCTGTATCTCCGAAACGAATCATTTTAGGACATAAGTTTATACGAACTTTTTTACTTATGTCCATTTGCAGAATATGTTGCCGAAGTTTCCCAAATACAATTCGAACCATCCTGTATATCACTATCTGTATTGCAGGAAAGAAACATATTGCGGAAAGAAGCCTTATGGCATATTACACATCAAATAGTGCCTGACACTTCAACAACAAAAACTGAATTGCAGCGTAATTTCCACGCTACCTGGGTGATGTAGAATGTTGTGAGCTCAAACACATGTGGTTGTAATACCATATGATCGAAAAAAAAATGGCGTCCAGTTGGCTTGGAAATGACGATCGATGACATTTCCCATATAATTTTACATATAAAATGACAGCGATCTTCATTTCATAGCCATCGCTGACGCCGTTTTTATTCGATCATACGGTAGTTATTTACAGTACAAGTGTGTTTATAAACATGATTACAACGAGTGCGAACGGTTAATCTCTAATCACAAGACTGTTGTAATCATGTTTAAACGCACGTGTCATGTACAACGTTTTATCTACAACCGAAAAATAAGAAAATGCTGCTTTAATTTTCGTTTATTAGTCGCCCACCTTTAACACCTTTAACTATGACATTTGTCACATTTTTTTAACCATAATTGTAGGGAATTGTTACCTGGCTTCAGACTATAGTTACAAACGTTGTTTATCAAGTAGAAAGTTTTTTTTTCTGAAAAGTCACTTTACCCTGTCAAGTAAACGCGAGCACTTTTTGCCCAGAAAAATCATTTTAAAAATTATGGTAATTATGCAGTATAGGTGTTTTTCGTATTTATAGTGATTTCTCAAAAATTCTTTTTTTACGTGATTCTAGAGACCAAATACAACACAAATCCGTGTGCGCACGTTGATTTTTTTTTCTGATGTTAAGTTGAGCCGAACTCCTCTTCATATCGAGCGTTGGGCGGGTTGGTTAGCGTGGTTATTTGGAAGGTGTTAATTCATTGGTTAGTCTAGGTAAATTAATCATATAATTAGCTATGACTAACCAATGAATTAACACCTTCCAAATAACCACGCTAACCAACCCGCCCAACGCTCGGAATGAAGAGGAGTAAAAAAAATGTTCAACGTGCGCACACGGATTTGTGGTGTATTATATTTGTGCGTCCAGTGAAAAAGGTTAAAATTACTAATGGTTAAGGGTTATGGAGGTTGGAGAAGTAGTTCCGTCGCAGAGGGATATATACGTACATCAAAAGAAAACAAGAAAATTGTTGCGCAGCACATTTTGTGATCAAGAATCGCTGAGGAAGCATGCCAGCCCGAGTGCGAGCCAAACCGATCAACAGCCCAATCTATTTCAGTTAGACCTTCACTATTATCATCGTCATCATCATCAGCAGCAGGAATTGTTTTGAAGAAGTGTAAAAAATGTGTTATTAATATTTATAATAATTAGTAGTAGGAATTTGTATCAAAAATTAATATATTTAGATGTTCGTACTTGTTTTTCATTATTATAAAAACTAGTTGTGTTATAGATTCATAACACCACTAGTTGTGTTATGAATCTCATAACGTAACTGAAATACTAAAAAAATAGTGATGTAAAAACGTTATAACTGAACGGTTGTAGATAAAATTTTAATAAGACGTAAGAAAGTTTGATATATATTTAATTATTTACAATGATATGAATTCAATACAAGGCATTGGAATCAAAATTACTTGCATTTCTGTTTTTTCTACATTCTACATTCCACTAAAATGCATAGTCTGTCCAACGAGGAGATCTATAACGGTGATAGTTGTGTCTATCATTTTAATGCGCAAGTAAATTGTATTTTCTGTCATTTGTTTGGATGTCCTCTGTCAAAATATTTTCTGTGATATTTTTTTGCTCTAAAGGTAGTCAAACTGGATATTTTATTTCGATGAAATTATTCCTTTTTAAACAGTAAAATTATAGTTAAAGTATAATCTATTCCGAAATAACAAAGACCTTCATTCTAAGTACAGACTACAAAAGCGTATTTATGGAAAATTACTAAGATTATATTGATACGTAATTAAGTGTGTTGCTATATGAATAAAACATTTATGATATACCATATTTTTACTTCTAAATGAGAAATTTTATTCCTATTAAGTTTTTTAAAATTCAGAAATACATTGCAGTTTGTTCGAGAGCTATCAAGTTGTAATTGATATTTTTTTTCTATAGTGAAGTTAACTTTAGCATACTACCGTATGATTAACTACGCCTGAGGAATGCTACGCCTGAGTCGATGATAATTTTGGCCAGGTCAATATCTAGACGTCATTTACTAAAAATTTACATAAAACTTGTCAAAATGAACAGTAATTATAGAACAATTAAAAAAAGATAGAACGTTTCCAGACCCAATTCTATTTCCAAAAAAAATATTTCATCTCGAATTTTAAACTAACATTTTAAAAATAATCTCAATATAAAAATAAATTACAACCTTCTTAAGGCCAACTGGTAGTAAGCACCATAAAAAAAAATAAAGGAGAGTACGGGCCAAGTAATGACGTCTAGAGCTTGACCTCGCCAAAATTATCATCATTTGTCATTCCCCAGGCCGTTTAATTCGATCGTATGGTATTTTGTTTGGAGATAGGCCTACCATGCATAGATTATATCTAATTGTCTGAGGGATCTAATAATAAAAATATATGACTGTAACTTTTATTTCATTATATAGGATTATTGCCACCCATAAATTTCCTTAAAACGAGATTAAATGATGTCCAATTGTTAGGAACCTAGCCTTTTGAAAAATGGTAGTGGGGTATATACAATACGATCAAATTATTTTATGAAAGTGTTATAAATTAAATATTTCTGACCTGGTTTTATAACACTTTATTAAGTAGTTAAAATTAACGGCAGGTTTTCATAGACCAGGTATAATCTGGACGATAACTACCTTCTTTACCTGGAATCCGAACCGCGATCTTTAACCATAATAACCTAACCACCAACTTATCGAATGTTTAGAAACTTAAGAAACGTTTTAAACTTTGAAACAGCATGTCTGAGTTTTTAGATCATCAGCCATTCTTCCTGACACTCACCTCGTTTATCGTCGCTTAAATTGAGTGATCAATCGAATATATTTTTACAAGCTTTCTTAGAGTTTATACACAATATAATAACAATTTTAAATGATATTTCAAGATTAAAGATTTTTGTTGCCTTTCTATATTCACAATGAAAATTATTACCCACTAAATATTTATTCCTCATTGTATTGAAATTTAAAAATATATTCCACCTTTTTTCGAAACATTACTTATTACATTACTACCTATATTACTATTACTTCATTATATTATTAAATATTTTGTCGTTGAAATAAATCAAAATAATTAGAATTGGAAAAGGAATGAAAATAATCGTAAAACACAATACATCAAAGATTCCAAAATAATTGCAAACTGTGTGCCTCGTTGTACCCTTCGTTTATGAAGTGAAACTTCTTTGCGAATGCTGGAAATAAACATTCAAGGCCTTGACACAACAGACGATAGGAAAAATGGTGGGAAAAAAGGACAGCCTACGGTTTAGAAAGAATCGTCCGATTTAAATGAAATTTGGTATAGTAAACGCCACGAATGTTTGGGAGTGATTCATCGGTCGCTACCAAGTGAACTAATCTGTTCAAGGTCACATAAAACTTAATTCCAGTGCCGTGGTGTTTCAAGTCATATAATAATCAATATATAATCTGTTGTAATTTGTTGTTTTAACTGTCAAAGTCTTGTCAAAACATATATTTGGTTATAAATATAAACTGAAATGCCCCATTGGTCGCACTGCAAGCACACCAATGGACTGATGCACAAAAACGAATCAATCAAAGAAACGCGATATAGTATCGTCTTTGTCAATGACGCTAACATTTTAGAATAAGTAGGAGGAACGCAGGCAGATGATTAGACCATGCCTTTGAAAACCTACGTCTGCGGTAAAAATTTACGTTTTTAATGTAAAAATGATAGCGCGCGTGTCGATTCTAACTTCATCAAGTGATGAATCACTCCCAAACATTCGTGGCGTTTACTATATATCAATAGATTGGACAAAGGACAACTTGACAGTGTAGACAGGTGACTCTATGACAGTTAGTTTTGACGTAAGAAACGTCAAAAGTTGACGTCGTGATGCCACACGGTATTACCCTGCAAAGCTGGATACAACGTTTCATTTATTGAAGAAAAAGGTCGGTCTATTTCGGCATAATTGGGGACGGGCTACGCAGGATGACGCTTTCGACGTTTCGAACCGATGCCTCTAAATAGGTGAAATAATCAGGATTTTTCTTAATTATGGGTCGATTTGAACCAAACTCGGCACGTGGGTACAGGTACCCAAATGGAGTCCTCAGAAGGACAGACGATCATTTTAATACAAATTTTGTGGAAGTGAATCAAATTATTAATTAATTTTTAATTTACTACTTTCTCAGCATTTCACACTAAACTTTTTCAAACATGTCCTTCAAATCCTTATATTTAATAGCTCTGTGTAAGAAGTTTCACTTAAATATGCGCACATAGTGCACACACATTTTTTTTAATTGTCGCAGTATTCATTCGAATATTTTTGAGCTTTTCTAAAGTTTTATAATTGTCAAAAACTGTGATTTTGTTATTTTGTTTTGTTACGAACCACTTTTACAATTTTATAGCAAAAATCGTACGATTAGTTTTTGAGATCTTGGTGTTTAAAAGAGACAATTGAAAACTAGTAATTTTGACTTTCACATAGATAAAAATTAATTGATTAAAAGTCTCAAGTACCTACTTAACGGGAAAAGTCATGCGTAGACTAAGGGCTGGCAAAGGTTAGTCTTGGGTCGATATTTCCGTATGTAAGAAGAGTACAATACGTTTATAATGTACTGAACAAAGAAAGAACAGTAAACACGTTGCCAAACGTACGAACTAAACCGAGAAACTGCGCATATTGCTAAGAGACGTGGAAGGGGATATAGCAGATTTGTCGCAGTCCACCGGTCGACCCAATCAGTATCACTTGTGTCTAAAGAAACCAATAATTCTACTTTGACTTCCGAGCTTCTGCACATGCGCAGAGATTTATTTCGCGTTTTATTGTAACCAATGAATTAACACCCTCCAAATAACCACGCTAACCAACCCGCCAAATAACTAAACCAATCCAATCAAAAAGAGTGAAACCATTGCAATGAAATCACACTATAAGCAAAAAAATATATAAAAAAGTTTTGGTTTGGCGTGAGATTTGAACCACGGACCATTCGCTCACGAAGCAATGGCCTCAGTCACGGAGCCAGAGGTGCTCTTGCAGAACTGTCTATACCCAGGCGTTACTTTCCGCCGTGGTTTAAGTAAGTAGATCAACTTATTGCGCATGCGGAAGCTCGAAAGCCAAAATAGAATTGGTATGTCTAGACACAAGTAACAGTACCTCTGTCAGTGCTTAAAGTTCTAGGGAAAGGTGTACATCATGCGTTCAGCTTCACGATTTAATTACGTCTCGCAATACTTTATTTGTTTATTTATTAACGAGTCGTTGTAATTTTCCCTATAGCATGAACCTTTTTATGTGCAAGTTAGAAACACTTGCATTTTTGGTAAAAATAAGTGGAATTGAATTGGTGTTCGGCAGTGGTCGTGCTATTAGAACCGAATGAATCGATATCTCAAAATCTATTAAGAATTGATTGTAGTTCTTTCAAAAACTTTCTTAACATTCCTGCTATATTTTCTTCGCAGACAGTATGTGAAAATCTTTATAAATAAAAAAGTTACACGATTGCTGAAAATTGCTATGCACTAAAAGTAAATGGATGGGCTGTTTAAAATTTTTGAATGGAAAAACACAACCTTATCGAATTTTTCTTATTTAAACATATTGTAAAAGATCCGATCTTCAAAATAAAATAAAAAGTTTAAATATCTAAAGTGGTTCTTAAGTTATGGCGTGTTATGTGTTAAAAAGTTGAGTTTTTAAATTATCGGGATTACTGACGTTTTATCGTTATAAAAAAAATTGACACCCTAACGATATCCTTATAATTCCATTTCAGATACTCAGAAACACATCTAATAATTTTATCTAGTTATCTTTTCGAGAAAAAAGTCGTTTAAAAATAAGCGGTTTGCGATCGTGACTTTACTTTACCTGATAGGGAAAAGCGTACCGGCAGCGCCGCAACAGCACACCGTCGCATTTCTCTCACTCCGATTTAATAAGATCCCTATGCAATTTACTTATATTACCACACATGTAAGTATCGACCCAAGGGTAACGGTTGTCAGCACGGTATAAGGCAATAAGTATATATTTCATATATGTATATTCATACTCTCCTACCTGTACTTGAGGAACTTCTTGAGGCTTATTCGCTTGATTCAGACAGCTGCCCAGATGCTGTAACAATTTCCTCTTCACAATCGGATCCAAACCTGGAAAGCGACCAACTTCTGAGGCACACTCTGTAAATCCAGCTCTAAACTTGTTAATGACAGCGGGATCGGCGACGGAATTCATGGTGGTCTGTTGCCGTTGGAGATTCTGAAGGTGTTTTACAGTCATCTCCAGAATATCGGCTTTCTCTAGTTTGGAATGGCGAGCAGGCTGCAAAAAAATAAATATAGATATAAATTTACTTCTATAACTTTCATTAAACTTAATAGTTATAAATTGAAAATTTATTATAAGTGAATTTTTAAAAATATAACTTACGTCTTTTTTCATTGCGTCCAGAATTAGTGTTTTCAACTCATTTAGACAGTTGTTAATCCTGGCTCGTCTCCTCTTCTCCATAATAGGTTTGTTACTCTGAAACAAAGACAAGCATATTTAAAATTTTAATAAAACAGAACTTTTTGATGTTTATAGTGTTAAAAACGTATCTTGCTATTATTATATACTTATTCTAAAAAAATTAAAATCAAATATCTTAATAAAACCAAGTTTAAAAGCTTCTTCTTCGGCTAAAATCAAAGTAGAGTTCTAGACTAGAATGTCTTAATTATCTAGAATGTCTTAATTATATCTTTGTTACATACACATTTAACCTGCGAAAATTATCATGTAATTATTGTTCTAACATTATTGTGATTAAAGTTAAGCTGCATATCAATGAAGACACGCGCTGAATGCAATTGTCTATATTTGGAATGTTGATATCTTGTTTGACAGGTGTGTGAAACAATGTTTGATTTGCTATGTCTATCTATAAATGAATATAAACCGCTATCTTAGAATTTTTTTCATTGTCTAAATATGAATATTATGATAATTTTTACGAATGGAAAATTAGGTCTAAACTAATCTGTGCTCAGTGGCGGATAAAGAGGGGGGGCCATGGGTCCCGGGCCCCCCCTAAAATCTGCAAATTGTGTTAAATATTAGGCTTTTGGGTTAAAAATGGCGCCCTAAAAAGCATTTTCTACATAATAAATTCCTGTATCCGCACCTGTCTGTGCTCGTAAAAGACCCTAATTCTCACTAATTGACAATCGTTTTGATTTTGAATCTGCCTATACATACAGGGTGTCCCACTTAAGATGAATAGAAGCCAATATCTTGGTTGTTTGTTGAGCGATATTTTTCATTTTTGGCAGGAGATTGTATGGCCATAAGACGTACATTTTGCCCAGGATAAGAAATGCGATACCTCATAGACGTACGTTTTAATGGGGTTTTATATTTTTAAGAGTAAACTACCCTTAGGACAGTATTTATTTCAAATCTGATAAATTATATTGAATCCTCCTTACCTAAGATACTTAAGTTCTATTTGATACAGGGTAATTTTTTTTTTGATAAATATTGATACAGGGTGCGTAATTAAAATAAGACATTTTTATTTTTATTATTATTTTTTTAAGTACTTACAACGCCACTGGATAAACAACAGGTTTATTATCAGTAACCAATTATAACCAATTACTCTATGAGGTATCGCAATACGTCTATGAGGTATCGCATTTCTTACCCTGGGTAAAATGTACGTCTTACAGCCATACAACCTCCTGCCAAAAATGAAAAAGATCGCTCAAAAAACAACCAAGATATTGGCTTGTATCCATCTTAAGTGGGACACCCTGTATACTGAGTGAATTCAACAAGCATTGAACCTATAATCTGTTTAACATAATTAATCCTACTTTTACGCTACAAGAAAATGTTGAAAGATGTTACAGAATGATTGAAATTGGAAAGACCACTGAACTATTAAATTTAATGTGATTCATTATTGTATAATACTTATTCTCTTGAAGGAATCAAGGCCAAAATGACATTTCTCGAAAATTTTCAAATATAATTAGTAGAATAGTTAAAAGTTTGACAACTTTTTCTACTAATTGAAAATGTCTACAACGATTTTTGACGTTCTAAATGCTTATACATTGAAATTAAAAGAACAAACTTCTACGCTAATTGAAACCACTAATTTATTCCACTAATTGCGAGGTTCTGAATGAAGCTTTAGTCGTTCTAATTAGCGGAGAAGTTTTTTTTCCTATAATTTCAATGTAAGCATTCAGAATAACAAAATTAGCGGTAGTAATTTTCAGTTAGTAGAAAAAGGTAATCAATTTTTCCACTAACTATACTTAAAAATTTGCGATTAATGTCATTTTTGCCATTGATTAATTATCATCCGTCAAGAGAAATTGTGGTTAGAAATTAAAAGTTTATTTATACTGAAAAAAACGTAAAAGGACATTTTACTTAGATTTTTGTACACATATGACACATAATTGTTGTATTAGCTAAGTTATTATTCTTCCTCAAAAAATATAGTTAGTAACACAACAATTAAATTTGTAATAATAAATTTCATTTAAATTTTTAACGAGTATCTGAATATTCTCTGAAATTACTCTTGTGAGAATTACCACAACACTTGTTTGCTGGTTTCCTATAAAATCAAGCATTTTCAACTATTTTGGAGATCTACAAATTGACAGAATTGTGTTTTCTACAACTGCAGCGTTTATTACAATTTATTTTTTCGTATAAGCTAAATATTAGGCTTCTGTGTGGATACAACTGTCTACCACAAGCTGTTGCTAGGATATTCTATTAATTTTTTTTTAGACATTGTGAATGATCGTAAACTATTAGGTATAAAGCATAATTGAAACCACCAATTTATTCCACTAATTTCGAGCTTCCGAACGCAGCTTCAGTATTAAGGACCATAAAAAATAAATTAATGATTATTTCTTGAGCTACCCTGTATCGCGGCACACGCGACCTTGTTTCGCGCTCACCCTGTAAAAGAGCAACCTCGGCTCGGTGTGGGAACGCTCGCTGGTGCCGCCGCCGTGCGTCGCCTCGCTGTTGCGTCAAGCGTGGCCGCCTCGTGCCCGACTTGGCACCGTGCCGCGACGCTCTTTTGTTTTAAATTTAGTCGAGACGCCGGCTCTGATCAAATGTCGACCGCGGAACGGCGGCGGCGCCGACGGCTCAGACGGCGACGCAATTTTTTCGCGCGTAGGACTATATTCCAGACCTGGCCTAACCGTAAAATCGGATGCGGATCTGATCGAATATCTTGTAACACTAATATCCCTCGTTTATCTCAAACCACTGACAAAGTTTACAGAATAAAATATTTTATTATTTGCCACTGATAAGCTGATCTCTGGATTCACACGCAATAGTAATTTACAAAAAATGACTTTTTTATTTTTTTTTTCTGCAATGATGAATTATGAAATAAAATATCTGACCGTTATCAGAAATCACACTGATAACGATCAAATATTCTCGATATCATTGATTATCATCAGATTTGATGAGATATCTCATGATTAGGGTTTTCAATTTTCGTGATCGGTATCCGGGGATTGACTCTGATAGTCAGTCTCCGGACTATAAGAAAATACTTAATAAAAATGCAGCTACATACTATATTGAAAAGAACATAAGAAAAGAGCTTTATTAAAAGACAAAACAAAGTAGTGAAAAAAAACTATTAACATTCATATTTAGTAAGTAAAAAAAATGTTCTTGTTGCAAAAAAAATAAAATATAGCAAATACAAAAATAATATACAGGGTCGCTTTTTATGTATGGAAACGATTCCATACATAAAAGCGCGTCGATTATTAAGTAAAATATAGGAGGTACCGGCATAAAGTTTAATAGAAAAGTTATGGAATTTTTAAATATCTATTAGTGAGTAATAAATTTAAGTATACAGGGTCGTTCATAAAGTCGTGGTACATCAAAGTTTAATTTTTTTAAATAGAACCCCCTGTATATTATTCAGCTCTAAGCAAAAATCGAAATACACACAATGTACTTCAAAGCAACCTTTTCTAAGTTATTGACTTTTGAAAATATCACTTAAATAATTCGATTTAATTAATTTCGATGTGTTTGGTTTGATTTAATGATGTCATTCTGCCGAAACTGTAATACGAATGGGTTTTTAAATTCCTATTAGCTACTAGTAAATTTAAGTATACAGGGTCGGTCATAAAGTTATGTCACATCAATTTTTTTTTTAAACGAAGCCCCCTGTATATTATTGCATATTTCAATTCTTCGTTCAATTTTAAGCAATAATCGTAATACACTATGTACATAAATTGAAGAATTGAAATGTTAAACGAAAATTTTGTAATTTCCAAACTTGATATACTCCCATTTTATACATGTATAAATGCTAACTTGAGAACAACTAATGTCAAATATTATTAAGTGTCACAGTTTCGGCAAATGGCATCGTTAAATGAAACTGAACATATCGAAATTAAAATTAAATCAAATTATTTAAGTGATATTTTTAAAAGTCAATAACTCGGAAACGGTTGGTTTGAGGTACATTATGTGTATTTCGATTTTTGTTTAGAATTGAAGAAAGAACCGAAATATGCAATAATATATCGGGGGTTCCATTTAAAAAAATGAAACTTTGATGTGCCACGACTTTATGGCCGACCCTGTATACTTAAATTTATTACCCGCTAATAGATATTTATAAACCGTGTAACTTTTATATTTAACTTTTTGCGGTACCTCCTATATTTTACCTAATATTCGACCATTTCCATACATAACAGCGACCCTGTATATTATAACTTTTAAATATTGACGTTCTGCTTAGTACATTTAAATATGATCTTGGAAAGACTGAACTGTATAAAGTCGAATCATTTTATATTGGGCATTTAAATTTTTCGAAATTTTCTGGATCCCGGGATTTAATATCAGGATTTCAGGGATAAACATACACCAGCAGGTTTGGAAAACCTACTCATGATATCTTTTTCGTTATCAATGTGATCTCAACAAAATATCGTCAAAATATTAGTGATATTTTGACGTGTAAATTTTTAAAAGTTTTTTTTGTCAATAAGTATTTACAAGAAGATTTTATATTTTATTCATTATTCATCTTATTGTTAATGCTATTTGATGCGAGGATTGATCAGAATTTTATGTAAAAAATTAACAACAAATTGAAGATAACCATAAATACTATATTTCCATAAAAGTAAATTTCGAAAGTTCATAATTCTTCAATGTATGATAGTCAGGCATATACTAATGAGGGTGAATGAAGTATATGCCAAAAGAATGTGGATGTTTTGATGTACTACGCAACATTTTTTGTATAAATATATCTATTTCGTTTCAAATAATAATACGTACTATTTATCTTTGCAAAGTGACATGCATAAACATTTAGCTGCGACACATGACCACAAGCTATCTTAAAATAATTAATTCATTAATATGGTCCTACAATTTTCTCTGATTTTACGAGATTATATTATGTGTTTTATTCTTTTGAAAACACCAAAAATAATAAGAAAAATATAATATTTTCAAATGAAATGAAATAAAATGTGTTTATTGTGTTAATTTGTTTTATTTTGATACAAAATATTATACGTGTATAATATATGAAACTACACTCTCTGGAGGTTGACAACTTGTTTTAGATATAAGTTGTTTATAAGTTGAGATTGTAAACAATCATTGAATCGAATGTTTTCAATGTCACGTTTTTTATAGTTTGATAGCAACAAGGTTGTAGTTTTGGAAAAAACCGTTGTATCACAAAATCAAATTGAAATAATTAATTGTAAGATTATTACGGAGAAAGTCTGAAAATTATATTCAATAACAAAAGTAAAAAATAGATTTTTACTTTCTATAATTTTTACTACAATTAACAAACGCATGCAAGTATAACACTATACCGGGTGGTACATCGCCTTTGGAAATATAAGAAATCCCATGCAAATTTTGAACTGTCCAAATATTTGATCCCCTATTAATTTTCGAGGTATGTCTTAAATACTACTGAATACACCTATCAAATTTAAACAGTATTGGATAAGTCGATTTTAAGTAATTTAAGAAAAACTGCATCCATTTTTAAATTAAAACTGAACAGGTAACAATAGATTTTAGCATTGTCGGATGTCAAAAGAAAATTATTTAATAGAACAATATGAATCTATAACTCCGAAAATATAACATATATACATAGATATTTTATATTGAATTTTCCAAGTACAGCAAAGCAGCCAGTTGTGGATACAGAGGGGGCCCATGGGGCCAAGGCCCCCCTATAATCTCTAAATTGGTTTAAATATCAGGCTTTTGGGTTAAAAATGGTGCATATAAAAGCATATTCTACATTAGTTTTTATTTGGGCCCCCCTAAAATAAATGCCTGTATCCGCCTCTGTTAGCAGTAAATATGTAAAACATTTTTTTTAAAGTCATATTGAGAGCTATATTCATATTTTTGTTACAGTTTTTTAATTCTATAAATATAAAACATCAAGCAAGAAGTTTGACTGAAAAAGTTGTTTTCTTACCATGACGAATGTAGGCACCTAGTTATTTTAAAATTCAAAACAAACTGGTATTTTTTTAAGACCCACATTACGAAAACTACCGACGTTATCAGAAGCCATTGTTTCAACACGTTTGTTTTTCCTAGTAAAATTTACGTATAATCGCATTTCACGCCTTTTATTGGATTGTAAAATTCTGAAATGTTTTTTTTTGTTTTATGGACTGCACAAGTCCGGCTAGATATTCTAAAAACATTTTCGAAATTCCAGTAGAAAGTAAAAATAAGAAAAAGTTATAAAAAAATAATTAGAAAATAATGCAAAATTACTGTAGGTTTGTGGAACTGAACGTCAAAAAATATCAAAAATTGACATGACTTTTTATATTGATACAAATACTAAATGAGCATCACCTTTTGAAATATTATGAAAATATTGTATATTTTATATAGGGCTCTAATCTTTCTACAGTTATTAATAAAAGTATATTGATATATTTAGTTAGAATTCATTTTAACTAAATTTAAATATTTCAAAAATTGATAACAAAAACTATATATATCATTATACATTTTTTTGAACATCACTGGACTCAATCACGAGATCCAAATGTTTACCGACCGATATAAATCTGTATTTAGCATATTAATAAAAAGAAAATAATCAACCAAGTAAAGAAACTACCACCTCAAATATCCAGTTATTTTTTGTACTTACTCGTCTGTTATCACTGACTCTCGTTTGGGTCCTACACGCTCCATTTCCATTAATTACTCCTGAGGAAGTTTCCACCGTGGAAATAACACTGGATCCCACGTTATTACTCATCGGAGCAACCGCAATTGAAGGCGATAGAACTCCTGAACTCATAGTACTGGTCGCGGTGCTCGTCGTTACCATCGTTCCAAAAATGTGTCTATAAAATCACGAATACCAACAACAAAGGAAGAGTCGATGAAAAAATTTGAAATTAAAATCACAGATGAGCGACCGGAACTCGTCGGATGCACTTCACTAATATCACCGCTTTCTGTGTGTCGGAGCGTAAATTTGGGACGCCCTGTGTAGAGCCTTCCGTAAAACCGCTCGGTGCAAAGTATCAGCGCAGAATGAGTCGACTGTGTTGTGTGGAAGCGTGGACTTGGATCGGCGAGCCGATCTGCTGAAAACTGACCTGTTGTATTCAGGAAATAGCAACGTTGCCACGTCTATTGGAATAATTAGATGTTAGGAAATTTCCGAGAAAATTTCAGCTCATGAGCCTTAATTTATCTCTATTTTGAGAAGCGTTCAAAGAAAACCTGATAAATCAATTTTATAAATTTTGAGATATTGGCAAAAAACGTATCGCTTGTGCTTTGATTTTCTTGACTTTGAGGTTAATTTTAAATAGGATTTAATAAAATTTGGTTAAAACTGTTCATCTCATCGGATTTATCTCACCAAAAGGAATAAGAATTAGTAATTAAGTTATTTTTGCTCAAAAGTTTTCTGTACGATGCTACTAAAGAAGAGAACGTAAAAAAATAAAAAATGTGTGTGCACTAGTGCGCATATTTGAAGTGAAACTTCTTACTAACAGTTATTAAATTGAAGGATTTGAAGGATATGTATAAAAAGGTGTAGTTGTGCAAAAAAAGTTGTCAAAAATGTCCTTTAACATAATATAATAAAGTATTGTGTTTAGTTTTACACCAACCAGCCAGGAAGGAATTCGACAGATGACATGAAAAAAAATGACAGAAAATACAATTTAACTGTGAATTAAAACGACAGACACAACTGTCACTGATTAGTATTCCAGTTGAAGTTCAAAGGCTTCTTCTGGACATCTCCAGAAATATTATTGTTACATCCATGGAGGGGCACTGAAAAATTACTTTAATACATTTGGAAATGTCTGTCCAGTCCTTCATAAATTTTGTAGGGTGATATCTTTTATTTTTTATCTGTCATCGCGGCAATAGGCAATAAGATGGAGGTTACCGATCCAAAAATATTGGATATTGGATATTAGAATTAACTGTCTACTCTTGTAGCTAATCTGTTGAATTTTCTGCTGCTAATACTGGGTGTGTGTGTGACGTGTCCTTTGATCTAGCCCAACTTGATATCTATTGTTACCATAAGAAGTATCCATAAATGCTTTCTGGTATTCCCATGGAGATTCTGTAGTTATTCTAAATTATTCTATCTATCTATCAATTCAGCCTCTTCGGTCCATCGTTGGACATAGGCCTCCCCCAATCTCTTCTACTCTTCGCTCTCTGTCGCCGTGCTTATCCATCTGGGGTCTTCCTCTACTTCTTCTATTTTCCCAGGGCCTCCAGTTTACGATGCATTTGTTCCATCGATCATCCTTCTGTCTGACATTGTGACCGGCAAACTTCCATTTCAATTTTGCTACTTCACTTCTAACATCCCTTACTTTAGTTTTTCCTCTGATCCACTTATTCCTTTTTCTATCTGCCAGCCTTATATGTACCATTTGTCTTTCCATAGATCTTTGAGATTTTGTTACCTTATCCATATTTGGTTTTGTCAGTGTCCAGGTCTGGGATCCGTAAGTAAGTACAGGGAGTACACATTCATTATATACTTTGGTTTTGAGGTACTGTGGATATCTTTTGTTTTTTAATATGTAACTTAATTTTCCAGATGCCCAGGCCAGTCTTACCCGTCTCTTTATTTAAGCTGTTTGGTTTTCTCTTTTCAGTTTAATCATTTGTTCCAGATATGTATATATATATATATATATATATATATATATATATATATATATATATATATATATATATATATATATATATATATATATATATATATATATATATATATATCAACTTGTTCTATTTTTTCTTGGTTTATTCTGGTTGTTATAACAAATAACAACCAGAACACATGACAACCAGAATATTCTAAATTATTATCTATCTATTATTTGTAGAATCGATTAATTGAAATAATTTTGTATTTATCTGTTAAGGTTCTGAGATTTTATTTCTTGAGTTTTCTATGAAATATTTCCAGTGTTCGTGACAATACTTGTCAGTTTCACTCACCCGTATAATACTGGCCTACTTATGTATAGTTGATTTATTTTAAATTTTTAGGCTTTATGAAAATATTTCACAATACATTCCTACTTTCCTTTTTGATCCTCCCTTGAACATATTTACTCTTATCTTCTGCTTTGTGTCAATTTTTGGAATACCACTTCCCCAAAATGTATACCCTTTATAAAGTGTTTCATAAAAGGCTAAACAAACAACTTTCTGTCACTATTCGTACAGTAACTTGCTACCTACAGTACTACTACTTGCTCGTACAGTAACTTGCTACCTACCTACCCTGCTCTCTATGAGATTATATTCGATATCCAGCAAATATCCTGGAAAAGTGATTTTGTTGAACGCACCCTCTGTATCCTATGATCCCTTCCAGCTCCCATGTTATAATTTCCCTGGGGACCTTTCAGCTAAATTAGATCCATGTAAAAAATACAAACTTCAGCATTATCTTTCAGAAATACCACTAAAAATAAACAAATCTGATATCCCTTAGGAGGCCGCAATCGTTTGACAACGCAACTGCCATCATAGAACAGTCAAATTCTAACAAACCTTTGACGATGCATATTTGATAAAATTTAAAACTTAATTTGTATGGAGTATATTATAGTGGTAAGCAGTGGCTTACTAGGTAGCTCAGACGGTAGTCCACTTGGCAACGTCGCCTCGCCGCGTCCTTCCCACAGCATCCGCGACACGAGCTACCCAGACGAGGAGCCGTGGGACGCCACGGAGGTGGTCGCGGGGCGCGGGGGGACCATAAAGAGACCGCTCCGCTGGCTGAGACGGAAAGTTCGGCACGTTCCCAGGCCTCGTCGGCTGAGATCGGCCCTGATCGGGCTACCTGTTGAGCAACAAGCGAGCCCGACGAAGGTGACTGAGTGGTGGGCGGCAAGTGCCGGATCGCGGGTGGACACCGTCTATATGTAGGAAGGACGTTATTAATAAGAATGTTGTTACCGATATATTATTAACATATCACTGACAATTATTATTCTTGTTGGTAGCAGTACGATTTTAGTATTTCTTGTTAGGAGGGAGCTCCCACGGATCCGAGTTACCTGGCTCACAAGGGTAAATTGTAAAAGATTGGGCTACGACATATACACTCCTCCAGATCAGTAATTGACAGAAATCAACGAATATGTATGTATATCCGGTTTTCATAGCGTCCTTCGTCGCCCTCCGGTCTCAATGTGCCACTTACCTCTGTTGTCCAAATTTCCTGGTAGTAAGTTCCTTTCCGACATGGCTCTGTCGATTCCTTGATTCCTGGAAAGTTTAGGTCGGCCTCGTTTACTGTTTACTCGTCTGTAGGTATCCACTGCAACACTTGTTTTGGTATTCTCTTGTGAGCCATTCGTTGGACATGGCCATACCACTGCAGTTATTTTTCTTGTACACTATTACTCTCATTACTACATTTTTTCACGTATTCTCTCATTCATAATTCTGTCTAAACGTGAGATTCGGGCTCATCTTCGCCAGAAGTCCATTTCGGTTGACAACAACTTCTTTTTTATATCTTACGCTTAACTGCCATACCTTAGAGTCATATAACATTACGCTTTTCAGGATAGCGTTATAGATCAGTTTTTTCATGTGATCCAATCGATAAACAACCTCAGTTTAGCAGCAATAGACCAAGTCAATCCCAACGGGAAACTCAAAAGATAGTAGTTCAAAGATAAATTTACTGTCAAGGGTGATGATGAAATCAACATATTCAGGAAAAAAAATAGATCCAGTGGGTCATGTGTGCTCTAGTCCTTTTTAATTGCCTTCCTTCCACCCACCAGATGAGATCCATAATTAACATATCTAGTCAATTCAACTAAATCAAGTCAAAAATCAAGAAATTCCAAAAACGCCTAACATATTTGTTTTTTTGTTCAAATTTGTTTATTCTCATTAACACTTATCGTAGTTCTACTTCCTCCATTTCCACCTATTATGCCTAGAAATAATTCACCATGCAAATAAACCTAAATCCATTATTATTCCCCATCGAAATAAGAAACAGTCGACCCTCTACACAGTGAAAATATGTTTTATTAACTGACTCCTGACTCCTATCGTATCTATCTAGTCCGACATTTCCATTTTCAACTGTAATTAATGGAAAAATTTGAACAAAGTGAAAATAGTACTGGATTCATTGTTATTACGATTATATGTATGCCCCCATCATTCCTTTGTGGGACATAGGGCTTTTAAGAGATGTTTCCGTCTTATCTAGGTTGTCTCTTTGACCTCTCCCCATGTTTTCCCAATCTCTTGGTCTTCAGAGGTTATTTTTCTTCTCCAGGTATCCCTTGGTCTTCCCTGTGGATTACATTCAAGTGCCTGTCTTGTGATATCTCTATGAGGCTGCGCAAAATGAATCTTGCCCCACTTTCTTTTTTTTATTTCGATATCTATTTGTTTTTGTGATCGCAATTCTTCGTTGTTAATTTCATTGGACCAGAAAATTCTCAATATTGTTCGAAGACGCTTTTTAACAACACCTGCAGGCGATCCATGAGACCACGCGTAACCTTCCATGTTTCGCATCCATAAAGCAAAATAGATTTTACATTGCTATTGAAGAGCTGGAATTTAGCTTTTTTTGCTTTATATAGAGGAATACCAAACAGGTCCATGACAAAAGCTCTTCGTGCCTTCAAAATTCTTTCTTCTATATCTTTCTCTGTGTCCCCATCTCTGTGAATATATATAATTGCATACTTCCCAGATACTGAAATTCATCAATTCTTTCGATGGCTCGGTTGTAGGTACAGGTCTTGGCTTTTGAAAGTATTTGACATAAATTCTTTGGTTTTCGCCACGTTGATTTGAAAACCGACTTTATTAGCTCCCTCTTGGAGTCTAAGAAGTTTTTGAGCCATATCCAAATGTGAACGGGAAAAGACGCATAGATCTTCTGTGTAATCCAGGACTTCTAGCTTGCTTAAGTGTCCCCATTGTATCCCTAGTGGTTCATTAAATGCTTTGTTTAGTGCTACATCCAGAAAGATAACAATAAAAATATATAGCCATGTTTTACACCTACTGCAATAGAAATTTTCTCCTTACGTTGAAATTCTAGTAGATGGT